ATCGTTTAGATTATGCAGTTTGAGGAATCAACCAGTCGCATATGTTAGCTAGAAGTGTTTAGCCATTTGGAGACTGTGATGCAGAAGGTACTCTGGTACTGTGCACCGTCTTGGCGTTATGGGACCCTGCCATCGGTTCGCCGACACTGAAGCGCACATTGGTCATTGGTACTCGGGAACATGGTCCGTATTCGCTTTATCTACCAATCCCTTCGCACACACACACACACACCCAGTACACTGCTTTCGGCCGACGTGATAGGCATCCTTACTCTGAGGATACTCTAGCTGTACCGGGTATACCGGGTGCCGCGTTCAATGAACTCGATGTACTGTAGACACCCAACTCAGATGAAATCTGCAAGCACCTTGGTAATCGGTTTACTCGGTTCAGATTTTAGCGAAACAGAAAGAGGTACATGCGTGCCTGCTTATTAAAGTTTGCACAGACTTCAAAGAATGTTTGATCACAAGATGCTGCCGAACACAGCTTGTTTAACCCCCAAAAAAACTGCAATCTGCTAATCCGCTAAAAACATTGTTAATGCACAATCTACCCAAAACAGAAAAATTAGTTATATCGACAGGATTATTAACGACTTTATACGCCGAGTAACTACCCAGACGAATGGATCAAGATCAGCGGAGCACGACGAGTGTCACACAGCTCGCTCTTCAGTGCATACAGGATACTCGAAAAACCCAAAGAACGTGAAGGGACAGCCGCGACAGTTTCGCCGGCTGCAAATCTTTTACGCCCGCCGTCCACACACCATCTTTCCTGCGGTAACTTGACGAAGGACGCGGATCGTTGGATTGAACAGCACACAGTATCTGCAACGCCAATCAAGCTTTGAAATTTGGTTTACAGATAAATGGTACTGTAGCGGCTCGATCAAGTGGCACCACAGAGTTGGTGTACGGGAAAACAGCACACATGCAGGCTGCAGCGTGTGCATGTCATGCGCTCGCAAGCTCGAGCAGTGCACACACTTTGCAAGTGCTGATTTCCCGTACACAAACTGTGTGGTGCCACTTGATCGAGCCGCTACATTACCATTTATCTGTAAACCACATTTCAAAGCTTCACACGGAAGACCGCTGCATAATTCCACAAAATCCTGCAGGGGACAAAAGTAGCTTGCCATAGTGTTCACTATCGGTTGATAATACCTGATTTGCGATAAGCCGCCGATCAAGAGAGCAGGCGCACAAGCCGGGCGCAGGGGCCATAAAAAGTAATTAAAAAGTAATTAAGACGCTGCTCTCTACGACATGGCCTGCTCCCACAGGCACGGGCCCGACTCACAAAAGTGACTATGCGGAGTCCGGTAGTGGTCATGCGCATACACGATGTAAAGCAATGGAGGAGACACAGGAGGAGGGAGAAATTGGTCTGCCCTGTTTCTGCCCGTGGTCGGTCCATTGCGCGTGCAGTTTTTCGCAAGGCGAAAGGGGCAAGCATCCCTTTCAGACGCAGGACGCGGTGCCTCCAAGTCATGCTATCTATAACATGGGTACTGGCCGCTTGCTTATCGCAAATTCCGAAATTCTCCCTCTCTTTTCTATGCAGCACGCATTTGTACCCCTCCCATGCTACAGATACAAAATCCGTGGAGCGATTTAGCAACAGGCGCAACGTTAAACGGCGGAAGAACACGGTCCGCAGCCAGATTCCGGTCTGATGCGTAGCGACATGGTGGATCATGCCCAGCACCGCCAAAATATTCCTAGTGCGAAGAGGGTCCTCGCCTTCGATTTCCGCCAGGAGAAGGTGTTGGGTGCGGGTGCAGAGGCATTTGTAGATAGCGGCCGAGAGAAGGAAGCGGGAGTAAACATGGTATTCCCGACTGGGAATAACAATCGTGGCAGCCAGCGTCGACGAGGTGATGATGTCGTTCCAGAAGGCCGATACGACGTGTTACGAGTATACATTAGCTTAACTATTAATAATATCTCCTTATATGTGTATCATAGAAGTATCTTTCTTGCGCCTGCCCTAATCTATTTATATGTGTTTTGGAACTCAGCTCGGCTTATAAAGCGCCGGCTGACATTTGTATCCTTTAGCTTGTTCTATCATTAAAGCTCACAGTAACATCCGCGCCTTTACGAAATAAGCACGTAACAGACGCGCAGCCAATTTCTGCGCCCACCGTGTCCAAATGGGAAAATACTTGCATCCATAACTCCGGAGGCAGGAAGTTGTCACCAACGTTTTTCTGTCGTTCCTGTGGGAATCTTAGGCAGCGAATCTGGTTGAGTTTGCGACCAGCCAGCTTTGCCTGCAAATTACACTCTGACTACTTGACACGGCAAAATAGAATTCTTAACATTTTTCATCTTCCTCACCAGACGAGATTTCTCTTTGGCATCTCGTTTCTTCCAGTGCCTCGAAATGTGCACCAGGTCCAACTATCCATCCACGAGATTCGTCATGCAGAATTTCGCCCCATCGAAATGCAGGTAATATGCACTGACTGCCTTGATCAGCGGCTTCTTCATTAGGCAATGAGCGGAATTCCTGGTTCAGCTGAAGGGTCATTAATTTGACAGGCACGCTCTGCATGATATCGTTGACGTAATCTATGTACTCCCGCTCGACAGAAAGCGACCAGCGAAGACGCTGAATCGGGACAACATCAATGCGGTCCCCTTCGCTGCCCTTGTTCCTCCATAGACCAAGGGCCGCCTCGCAGCTCCGATACTGCAAACCGCGTTACTTACTCAGTATTTGGGCGTCCAGTCAAGTCCATGGTCCGGACGGCGTCTCGGATACCAACACTTGCAAGGGAATGTTTTCGGCAAATTCCTCGAGAAAATCATTTGTGCAAATGGGGAAGGGCAGGAAGACGTGCCCAAGGGGTGGAATTCGCGTCCCCGGTGAGGACAGAGATAGTCGACGATAAGTCCGCTGGCCGCCACGTCCACCACGCGTCCAAGACGCAGAAACCCTTCGTCGCCCAAAACGAGGACATGGTTAAAACGGTCGATTCCGCTGGGGCCGGCTGGGCATGGGTGCATAATAAGTACCCACATCAATTCCACAGTAATGTGCGTCATGCGGAGGGCATCACACAGTACACCATAAAAGAATTGAGCAAAATCGGGTAGGAAAGCGCTTACATGCTGGAATTCCGTACGGTCAGACTTGCGATGCGTGCACTGGCTTCATTGCAAGCCATCTACAGCGCAATTGAATTACAAATCCAGCTTGCAGCCTTCCAGGTGGAATGCTCGTGGTCGGGACTTCGGCTGCGATGTTTAACGACGTAGTGGATTATGTTTAGCAATTTCTACAGGTGGCAATTAAATGATGCGAAGTTAAAAGCGACCGTACAAATATACGGGAAAGCTCAAGCAAATTGAATTTTCCTAATACTTACTGACACCGAAGAAATTTTAGTGAAACCGGTTTCCACTAAAGTAAACCGCGCGGAATGTGTACTTGTACTAAAATACTTAATAAAGGTCACAGAAGGAATCCTGTTGTTCAACAAATCCGAAATCTGTGATTGCTATTACCATTGGCAGCGAAGCACATGCGAGAATATAACGGACTGGAGTAAGGCAACAGCCGTTGCATCCTACTGTACCATTGTTACAAATTGTATATTTGGCACTTTAAACGGCTGGTATATTCCCCGGCAGTTATCATCGGTAAATTACAATTCAAGCTCCACGCGCAAAACAAAGTTACTGTACTCGGAAAACAAACGGCTATGGTTCTAGTTGCAAGAACCGGAAGTGAATTGCGCTCACCAACGATTTTTGATTGGATGCCTGTATTTAGCCTGGTAATCACTGAATGAGTGCACGCTTAGAATTCAAATGCTAGTAAAAATGCACGCAAGCGCATAACCTTCCAAAACGCGATCGGCGCAGAACCCCGATTCTGAGGAATCACTGCAAGTGCCCCCTTCGCTGACGATTTCGAGCAGCGCATCGCCGCAAAAGCGGTCGCCAACGCTTTGCGCTTCTTCCACATCAAACCAGTCGCCGTTTCCCCAACAGCGACCCCCCGATCGTTTATACAAGTACATCGTCTTGATAACCAACAGTAAGTGAACTCGTTTCAGCTTGTATTTTTCGTTCGCATTGCATCTGTTGTATGTTTTAGATACGTCGTCTGAGATACCCACCGCTACTCGGCGCCTTTCGGAAAAGGGTATCCAGGGGATAGTTATTGCCAACCATGAAGTCAAGAGTTCTCCATTCAACACTCTGCTATTTACAATTAACCCAGGAAGAATGACTTGCGAAAGTCTAAAGCGATGGATTGTAAAGCGCGCTAGCCCAGCGAAGTAGGTAGCCTTAATATTATGCAATGACTGACACAGGAATATCTGTTCGCTAATGGGCGACATGTTTTCGGTTCAGTGGCTTTTCTTCCAAGCACTTTGGAGTTTTTAGTCAAAATTATTTCTATATGTAAAATCCTGCCTAATTGCATTAATTTTCAGCAAGGGGCTGAACAAGGGCGCGGATTCTCCACGGAAGTACTGTTTTACTGGATCGGAGTCGGCAGAGCTCATTTCGAAGTACATGCCGACGCTGCCGGAGATCATCGTCATCGCGCAAAGAATGTGGGATGCTACTGATGACAGTTTTATCGATAGCTCCCCGGAAATGCCCGTTGTTCAAGTGGTTAAAAGCACCGGCACCTTCGCGGAGCTGACGGCTATTGCGGATCTTTACGACGTCCTTTAAACTTCCTGAGGTTCGTCGGCAGCCGTTTTTCTTTGTCAGGGTAACTTCTGCTATTTTTTGATACATTGCGTTTCTGGTATGAAAATCTGTCTTGTTTACAATTTTCACTATTTTTGGTTTACTTGTATCAACCGCAAGCAGGTGCAAACGTTTTGTAGAAGCGCGTTTTACAATTTCGTGGTCCATTATCTGTGAACGCTTAAGGGGAGGATCTGCTGGTACTGCTAATACCGAATTTCGTCTTATTATGACTAATTATGTTGTTTACTTGAGTGACGGAACATTTCAAAATTAAACCGAGCGTTTGTATTGGACATCAGTGCTTCCCTCGATTCGTAAAAACGGGCAGGCTCTCAATAACGCCAAGCCCACTAGAATATCCGTTCCGGTTATCGACTGTAGCAGAATCATTTCTCCCAAGCCCGCAAATGTTTTAACTTCTCCCAAGCGGTGCCGGCAAATTAAAGCGAAAATGTATTCACCAAAAGCGCAGCCAGCTTGCCACTGGGACCGATGAGTGGCACCCGGTGTGTTGGCTCCTTCGTTCGCGGATGAGCACTTTTAGGATTTCCGGACAGAACATGGAGCCAGATTCGTAGTCATCCAAATCTCTCGTCCGAGGAACTTGCAGAACCGGAAGCTTACGATCAGGCATTGTATAGCGGTAGCCTTTGAAAGCTTTCCTCAGAACTTCGGTGGCTGCTGCGGCAATAGGCCAAATGCTGCGTGCTTCTTCCAGTCTCTGTAGTGTTTCGTCGCACTCGGTTTGGTAACTGCATATTTCTAAGGATCGTTCCTTCTTTTGCTCGTGTAGATAGCACAAATTGTTTAACACATTTAGCGTTAGCGGAATTCCGTGAATGGCCTGCTTCATTGTACCGGTCGTGCAGCAGTACGTCCAGTCTTTGTCCGATGAGGCTATGGTTTTCTGGCATGTCTTCTTCGTGCCTAGCAGAATCTCTAAAGCAGAATCACGTCATGAAATACTGTATTAAATGTGTTGTGTGCACTATGGATCGCATGCAGGTGAACGCGCTTCTCCGTGTTCAAGACATTCTTATAATGATGTACTCAGCATGGCTACAATTGTACAAGGCCGCTCTTTCCTTATATTACTCACCACCCTGTTCCCTGCCTTCACGCAACCTACCTAGTGTTTTCCGCGTGTCGTCTTCCATTACCATGGTGCAGTATATGTGCATGTTGTCAGCGTCTGGATAGAGATCAAGTTCATGCCACAGACAGATGCTGCGGTGGCGGTAAGACAGATAATAGCCAACCGGACAGCCGATGACGTGGAGAACAGGAAGGATCGTACCGCTGTGACTGTGGCTGAACTGGTCCAGCAGTACAGCTCGCGTTCTTGTCGTGGTGTAGCTGAAAAGCGTATCGGCCAAATACAGCGCCTGATTATATCCAGCAAGGTAGCCTAAGGGAGCACTGACAATCACTTCACGGCTGATGGATGCGCAGGACAACACACGGTTCCATGTCCGACATATTCTAAAGCGATCAGTTATGTCAGAGATACGTAGAGATACAATAAAAATGTCTTTATTCGTTAGCAGCAGTTTACAACGTTGCATATACTGATCGACCGGAGCGTAGCGAAGGTCTTCTGTATTCAAGACTAATGCTTTCGTTGATTCCTGTCCGTGATGGAAGGTCATTACGAAACTGCTGCTGGCTGGTATTGTTGTTATATTTAAATTACTGTATGTTACGTATTTGCTAAACGTGCTACAAGTAGGATGCTAAATATTTATTATCACTCGCGAGTGTGACCGGCAAAAATGTCCCCCCTGTCCCCCCGGACATTTTTGCCGGAAAAGCTGCTACGCTCCGGTCTGCCAAATGCACGCCAACGTGAATTTTTCCTAGTATAAGTAAGGTTTGTTGCTGTTTTAACTTCTTTACAGTAAACGTAGATGCAGATACAGTGCAGCGCAGAATCTTTAAATACATAGATACAGATACAATGCAGCAGGGTGATACATATGGTACTCTGGCCCTTGCAAAGCAGCTCCTTAGCTGTACATAGCCTGCACTTTTTGTTTACTGTAGCGGCTCGATCAAGTGGCACCACACAGTTTGTGTACGGGAAATCAGCACTTGCAAAGTGTGTGCACTGCTCGAGCTTGCGAGCGCATGACATGCACACGCTGCAGCCTGCATGTGTGCTGTTTTCCCGTACACCAACTCTGTGGTGCCACTTGATCGAGCCGCTACAGTACAATTAAATATTTGTAAATTAGCAAATACAAATTAGCAAATACTTTTTACTTACAATTAAATAGATGCAAATTAGCAAATGCAAATTCAGTTTGTACAAACTTTGTGCTAGACAGACATTAAAATTCAAGTTTTGTTCGTGTTTTACGGCGACATCTTGTAACTTATCATTAGTACTGAATTTTCCCATAGCAAGCGCCAAAATCTTTGATGTGAAAGCCCCATCATTTTTGCAATGGATTTTACAATAAAAAAAAACAACCAATATGGATTGGCGTCGAAAAACCGTCGACCTGTTTTTCGATAACTGCAATCGAAAAACACCTGCATATGTGAACAAATATTCGAGCGGTCACTACTGCTTTCACAGCTTCAAATTTTTCAATACTTACTACTACTAGGCGCCAGCAACGCAGCGTAATATACGAGTACGTACGTATTGGTAATGGGTTTGGCCTTCTCGTTACCTCTGTTCATTTGGGATGCGACATTAAAATATTTTCCCATGCCAAGCAAGCATGCTAAACGTATGTTTTTCATGGTTTTTTACAGCAAGTGACACAGCTTTTCACAGTGTGATTTTCTCACCGTCGTAGACTCTTCTGGGTAATGACATCTAAATTCGACACAATCTGCACAAGGACGTCATCAGGGCAGTCAGAGAACGTAAAGCAGCTCTCGGGAAGATCTGAAATTGGAAGACACAATATAGGGTTATCAGACCAGGATCAGTCCGTAAATTTCTGAACATACAGTAGTAGACTGCTGTGATACCTCGGAAGTTATAAATACCGTAATTTGACCAAATTATGCCATGAAGCTACGCTTAGAAAAATTATTTGTCGAAAAAATGAGAATATAAATCACTGACAAACATATTCCATGACAATCGCATCAGAACGATAGTGTTCAGCTGTGCAAAAAGGTCATCTACACTGCACTCTGCACTGGCCAATGAAATTCTTATTATTGCAAATGAACCGTGGTTTTCGCATTTATGCGATTTCCACTTTAAAGCAGATATCGCTCTATAAAATGATATGAAAATCACTGTTGCCGCTGGACGAAATGCCAACGCCTTCCGATCCGGCCGCTGCCTGACATCGCGCATAGTGAGCGCCAGTTTCCGGACACCAGGCTCTGTGGTGCAATTTATCTGGCAGCTATAGAGTACTCATAAGGATCACAGTATACCGAGAGCTTCCAGACGATGAGTTTCCAACCATTTCGGAAAGAGTTGCATCTTCCGCCAAGTAGTCATAAACCAACTCCCATTTGCATCTAAGAATGCATACAGTCAACTTAATGGACGCACAGAGGAGCATTGCAAAAGCACATAAGTTCGTGATAATTAATTAAGCTCGCTGCAACGTTCGTTTCTTGATTATCTTTGTTTGTTTTCCTCTGCCAGCAACCCAATAACTTCAGAAAATCACCTTTTTGTGTGAATGATATCCTTCTGTAAAGCGCTAAATCTTTGCGGAAAAAGGAAGCCAAGAAGCGCTCGTACAAATGAAATACCAATCGATGGAATCTTTTTGAAACCCTTTTAAATTTTTGGCGACGCAGAACGGTGATACCATCATCATTGGCCGATATAATCAGCGTGCCGGTATATTGCAGCCAGAATAGCTTAAGTCCGACGTCCAGGCTGCTCAGCATGTAAGACAGCGGTGTCACCGGAAAGGGGCAGGTTGGCTGGCTACACGCGGTGAATCGCACGGTGAATTTCTCGAAAGTCTTATGGGTCACCGGCATCCAGCATCGCGCCTGGCGAACGCGGGCTTGTGACGCGCGATAAGAATAGTGTTCGTTTTTTGCCGCCAGCAGCTGCGGTGGTACAGATGCTGTTATGCGCACTATTGCGCATACTTCTTCGGCAGGAAGTGGTGGTTTATCGCCGTATTCAGGTACCAGGGCTAAGCATGTAGCTGGCGTCCACGTCAGAGGGTGATTTCTACAACAAGTACAGTGCTATCATGAGAAAAACATGTATTGTTATTATTCAAACCAAGGAACGTCGAAGAATAGCAAAGTAGAAGTTTATTAGGCCATCGAGTTGACAGTTACTGCATGTGGAGGCTGTATAACACGGATTTTCGCTTTACCACTGAATTTGTTTGGAAACATCCATCTTCTGCAATATCGTAGTGCCATAAACTAAATATTAAATATTGACATTAAATATTGTATCAAAATGTAGTAATACACAGCATAATTTCGAAGTCGTACAACTGCCGTAACTCAGTCTAAAGAAACAACTATTTTTTAGATAAGAAAACTGCAAGTGCCACGCACAAAAGGATAGCTTTCAGATAAATAACGACAAAAAAAAATGAAAAGCGCCAACCATTATCGACATTAGCAACGAATCCCAACGATAAAAGAAAATATAATATTAAACTTTGAACAAGGTATGGAATGAAGTTCATGAGTAGAAATTTTCTGTCCTAGCCGTTACCAGATGTCAGGGACCGAACAACCAAATTTCCCTAGCGACGAGCGACAGAGCAACTGGACAGTAATTGTGGTCGAGTCATGCATATACTGTATGTAACCGTAAAAAAGCTCAAACAATTTTTTATAACGAAAACGTTGAGCAATCTGTAATGCCGTAGCCGGCAATGAACCCCGGAAACTCCAAAATCAACAGCAAAGACAGTTCGGCCGATCTTAAGCAGCAAGGCTTACATAGAATTCCTTGTCAGCACTTCCTCGTTTTCACGTGGTAGTTGGCAATAACGACTGGCCGAAGTTAGCTTTATCGGCAACACTCGGGCGCACGAGAAACGTACGCACTCGACGCATGGACCAGAATGGTGATAGTCGATAATCAGCCCATCATCTGCCACATCTACCACGTACCCTCTGTAAATCGTGCTATCCCTTACGACATCAATGGCAAATTTGTCGTAAAACTGTGATAAATACAGTCGATCTTTGAGAATCTTAGTTGCATTGGCCATAATCATTTACATTCGAAATTCTTTGATACGGTTTACGCATCCACATAATATTCATTTTTACAAATGTTGGACGACCGCTGGCTGGTTTACACATCCACACAATATTCGATTTTACTGATAAATGCTGTACCGAGGTAGACTTGTATGTAGCAGTGTTTATGCAAAGAATGCAGGCGGTGAATGGTTAAGGTGGAAGAAAATCAATAATATAGCGTCGATGGAAACAAGCTGCGCGAGCGAAATGGAGGAGTATGACACTAGCGCCCATTCGAGGCGCTTATGTTAGTTACACACTATACGCACTAATATCGATCTCCGTATTTGCGGAAAATTCTGTAGAATCAACTATCAGTCAGCCTGCTCGGATCCCGTTGTAGCACAGTAGTTATAAGTTCATTCAACTTCATTCTGAGTACAGGAACATTTCGTGTTAGCCTTTCGAAAATGGTGTATTGTAGATGCATTGTATTGTATTGGTGTATTGTAAATGGTGTATTGTAAATGTATTGTAATGTATTGGTGTATTGTAAATGGTGTATTGTAAATGTATTGTAATGTATTGCTGTATTGTAAATGGTGTATTGTAAATGTATTGTAATGTATTGCTGTATTGTAAATGGTGTATTGTAAATGTATTGTAATGTATTGCTGTATTGTAAATGGTGTACCGTAAATGCATTGTAACGTATTGCTGCATTGTAAATGGTGTATTGTAAATGTATTGTAATGTATTGCGTATTGTAAATGGTGTACTGTAAATGTATTGTAATGTATTGCGTATTGTAAATGGTGTATTGTAAATGTATTGTAATGTATTGGTGTATTGTAAATGGTGTATTGTAAATGTATTGTAACGTATTGGCGCATGTAAATGGCGTATTGTAAACGCATTGTAACGTATTGGCGTATTGTAAATGGTGTATTGTAAATGTATTGTAACGTATCATGTATTGTAAACGGTGCATTGTAAACGTATTGTAACGCATTGCTGTATTGTAAATGGTGTATTGTAAATGTATTGTAATGTATTGGCGTATCAAATGCACTGTAAACGTATTGTAATTATTGTAAATGGTGTATTGTAAATGCATTGTATTGTATTGGTGTATTGTAAATGGTGTATTGTAAATGTATTGTAATGTATTGGTGTATCGTAAATGGTGTATTGTAAATGTATTGTAATGTATTGGTGTATTGTAAATGGTGTATTGTAAATGTATTGTAAAATCTTGCAGTATGTCGGCGGCATTGTACAACGCCGCTAAAAAAAAGCAAAAAGGCATAGCAAATAGTAACAAATTCTTTCAGTATGTTGGCGTTTTATCACCTTTAAAGGCATTATGCACTACTTGTGAAAATGTGAAAGGAAATACATGACATCGCTGGCCGAAAAGGAACAAACGCAACAGATTGATTTCACATATTTTGTTTTTAGTGCAGTATTTTTACTTATTGACCCATACCAATTTCACACTTGCCGACAGGTGGAAATCAAAATTTCGTCTACGGGAAGCAGCAAAGCGTTGCGATTTGCAGATGCATGAGCGAATACATAACTGCGGCGCGTTGCGGTGGCTTCCAGCAGTGTCGCTGCTCGAGCATCGGCATTAGGTATCGATCGAAAATTATACTCCTCGTACATCTAACGGCAACCCATCTCCGCCGAAGCAGGCTGCACCGCTAAGACTTAATACTGTAAAGGGCGTATTGTATTTTCAATTGTACAGCTTATGCTCAGACTTTCAGTAATAGCATACTGTAAATATCTCACTTTTATCGCTTACCATTCAATCAAAATCATCCGACTACGACCAGAGCCTATCAATTTTTAACTCCTTACAACGATACCAGAGCAAACTAGCTGCTATTATTATTTAATAGCGTGCTATTATTAATTTTGTTCTTTGACTTGGATCAGTATTAATTTCTCCAAGACCGTCATAAGCGAAACCGAAAATTTGATTATCGAAATCTTCTGATACATTTCTATAACATTTACGAGCACCATGTCCCCATCCCCAAATCTTGCTCTCGTACTGAATTTTATGCCCACACCGGTACTTTGCTCCGACGGAATATATGACGAATTCCTAGTGGATGTAATCAGCGACACAGGAATTCTAGTCCGAGGATATGTCTTTGACATGAAGGACGGGTATTTGTTAGTGAAGACCAATTTCTGGGATAAACTTGGCAAATGGATCCCGTTCGACCATCTAATCGTGGGAAGGGAGGTTTTAACATAAACCTCGCACGAAGCATCGGTTGCTGGATGCTCCGACGCCCGAGCGAGGCCCTGATCAGTCTAGGCGCCGGTCGGCCAGCCGTCTGGCTGCCGGCACGCGAGCTGCAAACGCACTTTTATAAACGCAGCTATCCCTGGTCCTGGTGGCTGCGGCATGTTCACGTCGACGTCGGCGGCGTGGGGAGCGCTGAATATCTCATCGGGGAAGATATCCGGTCACGCGTGCAACTACGCTACCGCTACCGCAGATTTGGGCACCCAACGGTGGGCAACGTGTCACAAGACACTTTCCGCAAAACTACTCTGCGGTTACCACTTCGGGTGGGCATGAAACTGCAGAAATGCCTAAACTGCCGCCGTTTTCACGAATATTGGCTGAAATATACCGGGACCCTTATTACGGCTATAGTCAGTGATCGCATGCAAGTGCTGAGCCGTGGTCCGCTGAATCCGCGTTCACAGCGCCAGATTGACGTATTTATTTGCGTCGAAGCCTTCGAGAGAGTTAACTGGGTTGCGCAGTTTCTCCCCGCGGCGCGTTCCACATCACAAATTGTGATCCAAAACAACATGATGCGCTTCAGTATGACCGGTAGATACACAGCACCATAAGCCAAATGGTGTCCGCATGCTATTGCAGGAATGCTCTCATAAAACTTTTATTCAGCAAATTCAGCAGATGATAATTTTTATTTACCACTTCGACCGTAATGCTAGCCTGCCAGGCTGAGCCAATTTTTTGCAAATATAACAAAACTTAACCTGTGTATTATTTAAGTCGTGTTGTAGGTGAGAACGAACCAGCATGCACTCTGTGCGCACTTTGGCAAAGGGGCGAATAAGCGGTAACTGCTGTGAGTCGACCATCGAATCCATCACCTTACCGATACAGGTTGCTATCCTTTCGTACCTCGACATGTACGACCGTACCAGGTTGCGAAGGTACAATACCTTAATACCATAGTAGGCCGACTGTTCCAACCGCTGCGTGTGTAAAATTCGCAGGGTTTCTACAAACTGGAAAAGGGCCATACAATCCACAGCCGTGTGCTCTGATGCAGTTATACCGCACGCTCCAAACCGTTGGGAATCCGCCCACGACTTAGCTTATCGAATTCAAATGTCGGTGACCGAATACACAAAAGTCGTTTATCTTGCGGGGCCCTGGCGGGATTTCCTAGAACCGGTCGCGACTATTCTATCCTATATGTCCATCAAACTGGATTGGTTAGTTATTGCTGACAATGAAACTGACGGTACCGAAGAATTATTTACTACGGGCGACACCACGTTGCTCGCCAAATACCTGCCGCAAATCTGCCGGCATATTGCTTTAAAACGTTATGCTTTCTACCGTTGGCCTTGCTTGGTGGACAGTTTGGACTTTACGTATTCGTTCACCCATGGTTGCTTACACGACCTGCAAGGGGTGTTTTTTAACCACCTTAATGAATTGGCCAATCCAGTAGAAGAGGCGAAATACGTTAAAATACAGTCGTGCATTGTCATTCTGTCCAAGAAGCCATGGTTATGGAAGAAGAAGCACTGGAAATCCCTGCGTTCCTGTTTTAAACAGTATGTTCATTTGGCTGTGTGAATGTGCGAAAGCAGTTTAAAATAATTTTAGCTAACCGGCGTTTCAGTTGTTCCGAAAAACAAACCTGTTCGGCCAATCGCATGTCATCCGAGCTGCCGTCGTACAGAGCGTTGTGCTTTCAGTAGAAGGCGGCGCGTACCATCGAAAAAGCGCATTGTGTTTTCGTAGTCGTTAACAGTGCTGTTTATTACAGATGGAGAGTGCCGCAACCACAAAGTATGAAAGAACTGACTGCAGCTTCCTTGGAAAGAATGCCACGAAGAAACCTAGTCCTTCTAAGTTTAGCATTATGGGCGGAAAAGTTTCAAATTCAGCTGGAAAAGTGCAATTACTCTGTAACTGATAGAAAGTGAAAGTTGTTGTAACTTGTAACTGTTGCCGTTGAAAAATTGCACTCCATAAAAACACGTACAAAGTTGCCCTAGATACTGATAAGATTTAACGATGATCACTCAAGGTAATCCAGCGAGTGTTGAAAATCGATCCTTAATGGAAGAATGAGAAAATTAAAAAAAAACTCCGGTAAAAATAACTAAGTTAATTATTTTTACCGGAGAGTATTTTTATCGGAAATTATGTGTACATTTTACTGTTGTTTTACCTGCAACGTGTCCGCATCTTAAGCTACTCTCAGCACACCGAATTTTATACCCTCGTGACCTTATTCTTATACTGTTGGGGTCTAAATCTAAATCTTTGAGGTCTTAGTCTAAATCTAAATCGTATAGTCTAAATCTTTGAGGCGTATCTTTTTCTACCAGAACAGCTTTGTTATTTCCTTGCTGAAAGCATTCTAAAATGTTTTTAATTGCAGAAATCAGATTAAAAGTGCACGATTGATCCCCCGAAGTCGTTGTAAACGAAACGGTGCCGGCGCATTTTCTATCGAAAGCTGCCCGCAGATTTTTCCTGTAGTTTACATGAGCCATGACCGCATCGCAACGAGTTCCTGTTACACCTAATTTTACCCCCACCCCGAAACTTTGCTTGGGTGAAAAATATGACGAATTTCTAGTGGATATTATAAGCGACACTGGCTTATTAACTCGGGGATACGTTTGCGACTTGAAAGACGGACACTTGTCCGTGAAGACCAACTTCTGGGACGTGACAGGCACATGGACATCGCACTGGAAAAACTTTCGTTTTTGTTTCACTCGGTAAGTTGTTATGGCAGAAAACAGAGCAGAATTGCGGTTTAATTTCCATTCCAACCGTTGCTTTGGTTGTTTGGAGAGAACGTTGAGAGCGGTTGTTGTTTTTAATTTCGCATGAGAAAGCAGCTTGCGTTATCATAGTACTGTGTTCTAGTACGGGTAAAGGAAATTAGGAAATTTCACAATGTTTTTTGTTTCAGCTGGAGAGTGCCGCCACCACAAGACCTGAAGGCTCTCACAACTACTGTTTTGGAAAGAATGCCACGGAAAAACTGGATCCTGAAGAGTTTGTCACTGTGGGCAGAGGATCCCGGTGGAGACGTTTTTTAGCTATGATTAGCGAAATGAATGTGATAATGGTTGGAACTATTTGTGTAATTGTAAGCATAGAGGTGTACCATCGTCCATTCCAGATTCTACTTTGCTGCGGTTGTGAATTTTTCCAAAAAATTCAACAAGATAAATTACACCAGTCCAATTATGAGCAAAGAGCAGTTCTGCACCCAACTTGGTTAAATGTTCGTTGAGAATGCTGATAAAACAGTGCGAACAGTAACAAAACAATCACGTTCATCAATCAATACCAATAGTCTTTTCACTCACTCTGGTAGTTATTGATGGTGACACTAGTAACGGCTAGAAAATTCAGACGCAATTTCAGACACACATGAGTATCTTCCAAACGCCAGTTGTTTTTCTTTGTGCATAACTTGTAGTAGAAATCGCCATCACAATCCGGAGCTTATTTTGGGCTCCGCATGGGAAAAACAACCACACGGCGCGTATTCAAGATACCGCGCTGTACAGCTCCGTTTTTAATATACTCGTGCTTATCTCTATGAGTCACGCCACAAGCACTATAGTGCACCGCACTTGTCGTATGCCAGTCAGCGGGAAATGATGGTTTTCCGTATTGATAGTTGTGTTGGCAGTGAAATTTAGTGTCGGCTTTTGTACCGAATTCGCTATGGTCAAGCCAGCGCAAGTAACAATAGTCAGCAAGGTTGCAGCCAATCAGCGCGTTTCTAGATGCCCCTCGTCAGAAATATCATCTAGTTTAAAGATTACTTTTGAATTAGCCTTAGATATTACAGATTACCTCATTTTTTATATAAAACTTACGAATATGAAACATTTAGGTATGGATATCAGATAGCATTTTGTATTTATTTCGGCATATTTCACATAACTAGTTTTGCACAAAAAAGCCAACATCCGAGAAATACTTTCTCATGAAAACACAATCATAATTTAGTAAAAAAATCGATTTGGATAATGCGCCAGAAGCATAAACGAAAAACTGACAAGAGCGATAGAAATTGCAAAAGAGCCAGCATGGAAGCATTAGCGACTTCTAAATGCATAACAAGTCAATTATCGCCACGATGGCAAGGACAATCATGGATGTCGACATCCACGCACTTCCCGGTGAATTCGCGTCTGGCAAAGGACTGGAGAGCAACACTTCATCTGCCCTGCAAAACATTCAAATTTTTAACCATCAGCATGGTTAACTTACTTACAATAAGATAATTTCAGATGCACAACAACTGCAATCAAGGTTTATTGGAACGCAACAGATGCTGCGTTCCTGATCTACTGCATTCAAGTACGGTTATTCATCATAAAAAAGCGCTGCGTGTTAGGACGTTTAATACACCAGCAACAAAATTGCTGTGCATGTCGACATGCAGTTTTCAAACGAAAAACCTTAAATTAAGAATTAATGTTTTTGTTAACGGAGCATTTGGCCAATAGAATAAAGCGAATGGAAAATGGACACTTTGACATTAATATTCTGTATTGTTTTCATGAGCCAGCTGCAATGGTCAGGACAGTGCAGCAACAACGCATTAATTCATTATTTTTTATTTCTTAAAAAATTATTATTTGAAACAGAATCAGAAAAATGGCAAAAACAAGTTATGGACACTTCATATACGCACCACCAATTACGCACTGATTGCAACTTTTGAAATAGGCATGTCGACATGCAAATAACCGATAAAAAAGACTTAAATCAACTCCAATTTTAATACGTTGAACTTGTCCCTGCTGCACTTTAAAATACCCAAAGAAAACTTTAGGAAAAAATTAAGGTTCTGCTCGCTTCTTGTGTTTAAGGTAACAAAAAGGTCTAATATTCCCCTTAAATTAAAATTTGTTTTATCGTATTGTAGCTGAAAATAGCGCTCTATTACACAACTGGATTACCTGTTGCTTGACTGCATGTCCTCATGCACTTTTGTCCATCTAAGCAGAACCTCCTAAGGATCTGGAAATAAAAACGCACACAATATTGGACACGTGCTATCTTTATGATGTTTAAATTGGAAACTATTCGATAAGCCCTTACCCTAGAACTCGTCCGAAATTGCTGTGGGTCCTCGCATCATTGCATACTGTCGAATGTTGCACGTTTTCCATAAGCATGCCGTGTGTGACAGGATCACGCAAAAATATCAACACTAGCAGTGTTTTTTTAAATGTTTTGAAATAAAATTTGGCTGTCGACAGCCATAAAACAAAAAACGTCAATGCTTCAAACAAAATACCAGAAATGAGAAACCATTTCAAAAGTACAGTTACAAAAAAGTTGAGAATTGCCTTTACCAAAGCTGGCTGTCAAAATCAGCTTGGGTACAACGGCGCTGAACGTAGACTTGCCGTGAGCACTGAAACTGCCATACAGCCAATCAGAAGCAGCATGAAAGTAGCCTACGGTGTGTGTGTAGTCGGCAGCAAAAGTAATGCAGCCACCGCGTGGGCAGTGTCAGGTATTACTCAAAATTTTGTCGTTAACGTTTTGCCTCCAACTAGGTAAATTGGAGGAGTTTGTTTTTTGTTTCGACAAACTTTTGCTTCTTTTTTGCGATTTTTTCTTTTTTGTTTTTGCGACTTTTGCTTTTGAGGATAATTCTAGTCGGTCGACGGATCATGTCCTTGCACAGAAATTATGCCTTTCATAACTGCTTAATTATCAAGGTTCTGCAAAAAAACTTTGCTGCTCTATAACCGCGACACATGGATCAAAATCGCTTTTTAGGTTATGTGTCGTAGCGATCAATGTCGGTCGACCGACAAAGCTTTTGCTTTAGATGCAATATCTTGCATTGTTATTTGCAATGAACCAGAACCGCGACGGCTTCGGGACTGTTGGCAATTAACATGGGCGGAGTAATTCGTAGTGCAGGATTTTGGAATTTGGCTGGTTTATCGTTTTTATTTTTCTGGAATTGTTTCTTGCTGAGCGAGATATTATTTACATGTCGGTCGACCGACAAAGCTTTTGTTCTTCTTGTATTACGTTTGCTGCTGTTTAACGTTTTGGCTAAACAGTTGCGAAGACGCGGGTACGAGTTTCGAATAAATTTTGTAACTTCGATACGTTTTCGTATTGATATAAATCATTACATAAGAGCTGCTGCCAAAATCATGCCGTCGGCACATTTTATGATAAACGTCTTAACATCTGAGGTATGTTGATACAGTTTAGAACAAACTTTTTGACGAGGGTGCGGCTTTAATGCCGTTTCTTCGTCTTACACAGCGCACATTAGTCAAGCTATTGCGAAATAATCTGTAAATCCATATCCGTTAGGAGCATAATAATATCTGAAATTTTTAAAGGAAAAGATATCAGGTGACAGGTACGTTTCACTTCACATGCACGCTTAAAACCATGAGCGGGACTGTTGGCAATTAACATGGGCGGAGTAATTCGTAGTGCAGGATTTTGGAATTTGGCTGGTTTATCGTTTTTATTTTTCTGGAATTGTTTCTTGCTGAGCGAGATATTATTTACATGTCGGTCGACCGACAAAGCTTTTGTTCTTCTTGTATTACGTTTGCTGCTGTTTAACGTTTTGGCTAAACAGTTGCGAAGACGCGGGTACGAGTTTCGAATAAATTTTGTAACTTCGATACGTTTTCGTATTGATATAAATCATTACATAAGAGCTGCTGCCAAAATCATGCCGTCGGCACATTTTATGATAAACGTCTTAACATCTGAGGTATGTTGATACAGTTTAGAACAAACTTTTTGACGAGGGTGCGGCTTTAATGCCGTTTCTTCGTCTTACACAGCGCACATTAGTCAAGCTATTGCGAAATAATCTGTAAATCCATATCCGTTAGGAGCATAATAATATCTGAAATTTTTAAAGGAAAAGATATCAGGTGACAGGTACGTTTCACTTCACATGCACGCTTAAAACCATGAGCGATTAACAGTATTTGTTCTAAATCAAAAATGACCGTGAGTTTCTTAGCAGCGAAGTTTTCTCACGCGGAAAATAAATTCCTTCGTACGTTGCAATCGTGTTGTGACTGTAAGAGTATAATATTATAGTGTCGAATTACAGATACGAAGTAGTGTTCAAGTTTAATCTATGTCAATACGAAATACATTTGGCAACTAAGACGCGGATATGGTGTTGAAAGAGTCGGAACTTGAACATGAGAAACATAATATAACTAGTAGACCCCGCGCAAATTGCGCGCAACATATAGGCACGGAATAGGAACGATTTAAAATCATAAGGATATCATGATTACGAGGACATTTGGGTGCTGTGAACATACCCTGCACGATTAGGCTGCGATGAACAGCTGGTTAGCCGTAGCTCGGTCTGAATGCAAACGGCTATAAATTTAGCCGGCTGTTCATCGCAGCCTTATCGTGCAGGGTATGTTCACAGCACCCAAATGTCCTCGTACTATTTATTTGTTGGTGAAAAAGATCACGGTTAACTTTTCGTATTATGCGTTGTATTGTATGTGCGAATAATTTTTCGTAGCCACGTCACAAACTTGGAGCAATCGTAAATTCTCAAGGTCGGACACCGGAAACAGCATTATGATTCAGAACTATGGAGCACATGTTGCTCATTTGACGTTTCTGGTTTCTGCATATCCCACCCATAAAAATAATTTTTCCACCATGCCCTTTAAATCCGAAAGTATCAGTATGGGAAGTGGTGGGAAAGCGGAATGCAATCCCGTGCAAAAAAAATTGCCACGATTACTGCATCACTTGATGCTCCGCTCGCGCCGCAGCTCGGCGTCGCCTGCGGCTTTGTCTTCGGTTCTTATTCAACTCGTTGGAGAACAATCAGATTTTCTGAAAATTTATGACGCAAAGGAAAAACCTAATGGTCCGTGACATCTGGAGCCACCGTTGCCTACTCTTCTCAAATCAGACTTTTGCTGGTTCTGCTGCTGACTTTGATATGTAAGATGTGTATCGAATGACAGACTCCGTGCAATTGCGCGGTTTAAATCGGCTTTACATCGTTCTGTAGATAATTTTTTGCTGCAGATTTTTATTGATTTTTTTTAAACTTTTTCTCCCAGGCTGCTTCGCCTTCTGCTGGTTGTCACAGATTTTACCAAACAGAAATTTTTAGAAAATCCTTTCGTACTGCTTTCGAGCCATGTCTGCCAAAAAATGCGTATTTCCATTGCTCACCAGTCACCAGCTGCTGCCCTTGGGCGCGCTGCTACTTTAAAACTGGTCATACTTCTGCGGAGGGCAGTTGTCTTAATGATTATGGTTGAAACTGCGCGATACGCTTCGACTCTTCGTTGCTTTTTTCGTCAAACTCTCCTTTCTTTCGGAGTCTGAGTTTCGATGAGAAATTAGAAACGCAAGGCTACCCTATAATTGATAAACATTCAAGTTTCGTTCCAGTGAAACGTTCTGGAAGCCCGTGGCTGCTTGGCAGCAAAGAGGTTTTTGGCTGTTTATTTGAGACAATGGTGAGGTGGTCGGTTCTGCAATGGTGGATTCTTCACTTCTCCCGTAGACTCGGCATGTTACGTTTTTTCAATTTTTTATGAAACTGGAACTGTTTTTCTCAGATCTGACTTTTGATGGCTCTACTACACGATAAGAGCTATCGAATAGATTCTTATCGCAACGCAAAATGGACCTACGATAGACGGTACGATATACGGTAGGCTCTTCTACGTCATCACGGCGTACCCTTACCGGACCGTTTGACGGTAGGATTGACGGTAGAAGGCTGAGATATCGTAATGCCTACCGTTGACATCTGCGATATAGCAACCTCCCGTAGTGGCAGTGGCATGAAGCACAACGTGTGCAGCTGCCAAATCATGCAACTTTAAAATTGTTCTGGTTTTTAATTCTTCTTGATTCATCAGAAAAGGATATTAGAAGAAAGATAAAATTCTAAGGAATTTTTTGATACCAAGCGAGGGCAGTTTATCTGAAAACGAACGATTCTGCAGCCATCTGAATTTAGCATGCCAAGCTTACGGAGCCGTTGGAGTACTCTGCGCGAGCTGCCATTTAAACTCCATAGGCGCCTGTGTTAAAATTCAAATGCTCGTAGAAAAGTTCATGGGCTGTTAAATCCGGATGTTTTGGTATCAAAAAATAGTTTAGAATTTTAGTTTTCATCAAGATTTCAGCTGAACGATTGTTACCATCTGCCAAAGCCTTAAAACTTATTTGAACCACAGCATGTTTCACGTCAGAGGCAGGATTGGACCGTATCGTTTACCGTCTGCGCGCTGCGATCACTCTAGCTTATCAACGGTATAGCACGATACGATGTCCCACCGTATCGTACACCGGACCGTATATCGCGTCTGTGGGGCGATAAGAATCTAATGATACCAAGATATCGAAGTTTGGTCTTGTGTGTGGCTAGGACTGACTCCCCGCAGTTGAATTTTGAGCACTTCTTATTCTTTTAGTATAAAGGATGACACTGTTGCACTTATAGATTTGCACATCCATGAACGAAACCGACAGTGGATTTATTACTGTTACTGTAACGTCAGTAAGTAAGCTAACGTAAAGTGTCAGCTGATTGTTAACACGAGAACATTTTGCCGAATATTCTACAACTATACACACATACTGCCAGTGCTACGGGCTATTGCGAGTTGTTCTTGGGGAAAACCAGCAGCCTCATCGTCTGAACGATCCACTCGTGAACGTCCTGGTGCGGCCGGAAGAGGCAGTGGATGTAACCGTGGTCGTCCAGGGTGACCGGCTGCACGAGCAGTGTCGCGTAGGCCGCCGGTCCAGGACTGTTGTCGCGCCCGGGGTCGGCGTATGATCGGACTTCCTGCAGTTCTTCCGCGGCGGGTCCGGGAAGCCCATACGGCGCTTCCCAGGGGCCCTAGACGATGCGTCCATGCTGCCCACATCACGTGATTGGGAGAGGGCGTGGTTGACGCGGCTGAAACTGTACTGCTGCCCGGTGGTATCCTCCTCCAGCAGCGCTTGCGGCTGTCCGACATCGAAGACGGGCAGTTCTAGTGCAGCCACGCCACACCGCGCCAGCCGACCCCGGCAGGCGCACTGCAGTGGACCATCGTGTCCTCATTGAGACGCGGCCGGCTAACCATGCTATTGGTCACGGCAGCACTCGGCGCCAGCCCGGGCAAGATGATGCGGTCGTCCTGTCGGTAGTGCAGCATGGCCTCCAGCCAGCGTGTCGTTCACTAGCAGGAACTGTTTTGAGAAAATTTTGTGAGCATTATGCTTGAAATTCACAGGCTACAGAAATTCCGCCGGCATTTAGACCACACAATATTCTCGGGTATATCGACATTGGCTCTGCAACACAGTAGGAATTAGAGCAAACGAATGTAAAATTGAAAAAAATTCAAATTTCAGTACATCATGTTTAACGGTAATCTCAGTTTTTAATACCTAACTTCGCAGCTGATCACCGATATGCGCTGCCCACAGCGCTAAGCTGTGAAAGACCAAGTTCTTCCGGGGCATGCTGGCCAACGCAGCTATTGTCAGACCCTTCAGATGTTCTGGCGGCGGCACTCTCCATCTGAAATAACACATTTGCTGATGGATTCGTAAGTTTTGCCCCGACACCCAAAGCGGCAGTTTGAACACACAAAAAAACATTAATCTGACAAAACCTTATCCGTAACAATTTACCGGGTAAAACATGCACGAAAGCTTTTCCAGTTTGCTCTTCTCCAAAATCGTGACTGTTTAGACAGAATGTCGATGCACGACTGTATCTCAGTGAATTTCGATTTTCGTATTGGATTGGCCACTTCATTCAGGTGATTAAAAAATGCTAGTTGCACATCGTGGGACGATGCAGTGCTGAACGAATATGTGAAGTCAAAACTCTCCACTAAGCCCGGCCAGAAGTGGTAGCCACATCGTTTTAGGGAAATATAGCAGCAAATAAGCTGCAGCGGTTCGGTTGGAGACGAGGAATCGGTTGTAAATAGTTTTTTTGTGCCGGCAGATTCGTTGTCAGCGATCACCAGCCACTCCAGTTTGACGGACATGTAGAAAAGGACGATCGAGACCGTCTCTAGGAAGTCCCACCAATGTCCAGTCACATAAACGACGGTGGTGTTTCTGGTCACGGACATTTGAAGGCGATAGGCTAGGTCGTGGGCGTTTTGAGGGTCACATCGATAAGAACGATGCGGTATAATTGTGTCACAATGAACGCCTGTGGAATGCATGACCGCTTTCCAGTTTTCAGAAACTCTACAAAGATAACAAACCCCAGTCGTTGGATGAATCATCAAAACCTGACGGGAATACAAGGTTACCTTTGCAACAGCGTACGGTCGTAGATGTCGAGATACGATAGGACGTCTGCCAGTATGTCGACGGGAATGCTCCCGCTGTTCGACGTCGTTGGATCTGGGTAATCTATGTTCAAAGCCAATGTGAGATTCCTCTCAACGCTTTCTTATTTGCGGCATTTGACGAAACGCTCTCAGATGGTTTCAGAATAAACACAGTTCACATAACATAAAAGTGTGGTTTCGCTACTTGTACTCAAAATTTTGATTATTTTACATAATAATAACTTTGAATCTGGACACCGCTGATATTTGATTAAAATATTCATTTTGACATTAAAAAAGTGCCGGAATGCGGTATCGGTGCAACAACGATCTTTGTAGCTACGAGAATGCGCATGATACGAGAATGCTTTATGATATTTTGTAGCCTAAAGGATTCATATACATAGGCGAAAAAACCGTTTGTGCGCGCAACATCTGGTTCGGGAGTTATTAGTGAAATTAAATTCCAAAAGTTTAAAAGCGCGGAGGTGTACCAAAAGTCTCGCTATGTACCGATGCTCTTCAAATTTTGCACGAAAATGCACATTACTGGGAATATCGTTTTGGTACCGAACCAACTTTCCAATATTTTTTTAAAGTTTTAAATTAATTTTTGGACCATTTTAAAATTCATTTTAAAATTTGAAAAAAAATGGTAGAAAGCTGGTTCGGTACCAAAACGAGTACTGTGCATTTTCGCATGAAGAGCATCGGACATAACTTTCACCGCGCTTTGAATTTTATTTCACCAATAACTCCCGAACCGGATGTTGCGCGCGCAGACGGATTTCACGCCTACGTGTACAAATCTTTGGCTACAAAATGTCATAAAGCAATGTAAAAAGTGTTTGGGAGTGCGCGACCGTGAAAGTTCCCGTGTATGTACCCGAATTTGTTACTATGTACCCGGCCAAATCCCTTAAGCAGGTAATTATTGTAAGTTACTGAACAATTGAAAATATTTTTATGAAAACGACCATTCACTTTAATATCTACAGCTTAAACCAAGGTCATCATTAACACATTTACCAGTATTGTCGAGATGCAGTACAGTTTCTGGTGGAACTGATTGTGCTGCGGAACCAGACGCGACAAGATAATACGTTTGACCCAGAATAACCTTTCGAAGGCGTCAGCGCCGGTGAGCCGCTCGATTCGTTGCTGTGCCCTCCTCTTTAGTGGGCCACGGCTCAGCAGTTCCATGCAGTCGTCCGCTATAGTAGTAAGCAGGGTGCGCGTATCTTCCAACCAGTCAACATGAAAATTAGGGCAGCTCAGGCATTTCTGCAACGTCTCGGCCACCCGTGACTCCAGCTGCACAACCGTTTTGCGAAAGGTGTCCTGTGTCACGTTTCCCCCTCGACGTCCAAATCCGCGGTAGCAGAAACGCTGCTGTACATAAGAGCGTGCGTCTTCCCCGATGAGATACTCAGCGTTCCCCACACCGTCGACGCTAACCTGAATACACCGCAGCCACCAAGAACGGTTACTGCTGCGTCTATACATGTGCAGCTGCAAACCGCGTGCCGGTAGCCAGACGGCTGGCTGATCGGGACCAAGGCTGATCAGTGCCACGCTGCGGCGCCGGATCATCCAGCAACCGATGCTCCGTGCAGCATTGATGCAGAATCCCCTGTTTGTACGAACAGGCGGTCGAACGGGATCCATAAGCCGGTTGCGTCCCAGACATTGGTCTTCACGGACAAGTGCCCGTCTTTCAAGTCGCAGACGTATCCCCGGATTAAAAAGCCTGTATCGCTGGTTATATCCACCAGAAATTTGTCATATTTTCCACCGGAACAAAGTTTCGGTGTGGGTGTGAAATTCGCTCGAACAGGAATACGGTGGATGCAGACATGGCGTTAACACAATGATGGAATGGTAAGAGAACTTTCGAAAAAAAAACTTCCGTTTCCGTTTGCAATGATTTCGCGCACTTAATCATGCAACGTTGATTTTATCCTTGTCATAGAGTAAATAATAAAACGTTTTCAGCTAGGAACAAATGAAAAAATTTGATAGAAATACGTTTGAATGATCAAAATTGCATTACACGTACGTGGGAGTTTAAGGATTTTGTAAGCGCCAGTGCATTAGCATCCGATCCGGTGTGTGTCCGTAACCGTTGCTCAACGCAGTTAACAGCATATCCAAGATGGGCAGCGCGTTGGTTATAGGATCAAGTTCGATCGATACTTCTGGTCGACCGGTATGGGAACTATGGGAATACCGAACACGGTATAAGCTTACTTAGTCATGCCGTATACATTGCTTTGTCTATGCTGCGCTGGTATAGAAAATCGATTGGGCGCAAACGGTACGCGTTAACTGGATACTACTGTGCCGGTTGGTTCACTGAAAGCAGGCGTACGTTGGAGTTACTATCGCTAGCCTATAGTAAGTACTTGGCTTGAGTTAACTCAAGTGCGTATTCATACCAATTAGATTGCCATTTCTGTGCATAGAATAACTATTTTGTTGTATGTTGCAACAGTTATTTTACTTATAGTTACTGTTCTATTATAGATGCAGACGCAGTCGTCCAGGATTGAATTACGTACTATTTCTGCATTCTACAGATACAATTAGAATTTTTTGTTATTGTTACTTGTGTAATACGCGATGTAAACCACTGCATTTTATACTGGCTTTGCCACTTTGTGCAAACAAATATTAGCTGAATGCGCAAGAAAAACTTTCATTCAAAATTAGAAACTCACGAACTGGAAGCTGTAATAAGAAACCTTAATTTTTTATATCAATTTCTTGTATGAAGGGCTTGAAAATACTAGGATTTTTATGCCTTCTATCACAGGCCCGAATGTCATCCGGTGTTATTGCTTGCACCATAGCAGTGAAATGAAATTATTTTTATTTTTTATTAACCCGCTGACGCCCATTGGTGTTGGGGCGCAACAGCGTTCTAATGCTAGATCCAACTGTGATCCAGAGATGGCGACCTAAACGGAATAGATCCCGTGGAGCGAGCAATGCGATATGTATTGCGAGCTATGCGGAAACACAAGACGTCGCACCGCTAATTGATAACTTTAATAATATTGAAAATCTGCACAACAGAAATCAACATAATGATCGGCGCAGCTCGATCGTCAATCGTAGAGCCAATTCTACAGTGTGCAGCACGTGCTATGCCGCGCCCGCTGACACAACTCAAGCCAATCAGAGCGAGACACAACACAGACCGTAATCCAAAGGCGTAGCGCCTAGCGCCACGGACGTGAACGCTAGTGAAGCCTTGTCTCACATGCCTCTGGGGGGATGCCGAGCTCCGTTGAGGCTGGACACACTCCCGAATCCACGAAGAGACGATCGCCGGTGTCTGTGCGTGCTCAAAACATCAAATTCTCTTATTCCATTTATCACATCAACTCCAAATGCACAATGTGAAATAAAGAGATCTGTATCAAAATACTATTCCATATCAATTCTAATACAAAACAGATCAACAGTTAAACAGATCAACAAAAGCAATTAATCAATGTAGACTAGGATCCTCCATTTCTGACTCGTAAAGGTCACAGGTCCTGTCCACCGTTTTCCGCACTTTGGCCCATTCCGCTCTGTTGAGCAATTCCGCGCATCCTTAGTGCGACTTTTCATCACAATCCGCTTGAGAATAAGGTGCGTATCAAGTACGACTTAGGAATACTGCTTCAATCTTTGGAATATGGTGCGTATCAATTGTACGACTTTCAAATGAGATCCATAAAAGGTCATGGAGGGACGTCAATGAAGACAAGCGTAGATCGCTTCCTCCCTGGTAAAGGTCATCCTTTGTTGAGATGATCCGGGATGTGCGACTCGTATTGGGTTAATGGTCCCAAAAGGTCATGCGACTTAAATTCTGATACGGTGACTCTCTTGAGCGGGGTCATCCGACTTCTCTTCAAACTTCCATCAAAGGTCATGGAGGAACTTAGCCAATTTTCTGCGGCCGTCAAGCATTTCTTCGCTTGCCTCCCTGGTAAAACTTTCGATTTGACCTTTCCGTCGCACATCCAACTTCAACATGCCTTGAGCGGCCAGAGTGCCGGCAGAGTTTACCGTAACATCTCTGATGGGGCCGGCTAACTACCGCATTAAATTTACCCCACGACGCTTCCACATTTAATCTTTGACTCTTGTTCGCCGCTTGTGGCCCACCTTCGGTACGAGAGGTCTGGCTTGATTACCGCTGCTTCTCTCGTTGATTTATAACACTGAGTCGCTTGGAGAGATTGCCGGCATAGTTTACCGTAGCAACTCTAATGAGGCCGGCTGACTGCCGCATCAAGTCTACCCCATTAATATTTCCACCTGTTGTCTTTCTCTTTTCCGCCGCTTCTGGCCCCCTTCGTCTTCAAGAGATCCGGCTTGATTACCGTAGTTTCTCTAGTTTATTTATAACACTGAATCGCTTAGAGAGGAGAGCCGGCTAACTGCCGTAGCAACTCCTTTGGGGCCGGCTTTGGTGACCGAATCAATTTTAACCCCAAACACTTTCCACATGATTTCTTTCTTCTGATTCTGTGCTATAAACGCTGAAAACAACAATTACACGAATGCAGTTTAAGTTAACATGTTACGTGACCTTTATACTTAACCATGATATTCGCTTCTGATGACCTTTCGTGACCTTTTTCGTTACATCATTAAGGTCATTTGCTTCATTCTAACGCGGTGACCTTTCACGTTTTGTCGTTTACGCCAGTTCAAGTGCTCCGTCGTTAATCAAACATTCAACAGAGTTTCTGATTTACTTTCCATCCTTTCCGATATTCAGTTTGAACATATCAAAGTCAGACAGCCATGCAGTTCAAAAGGTCATTCAACGTCACTGCGTTTGTTCCGACGATAATATCCATGGCCGCATCAGTTATGGCCGCCCTCACGAATTTTTATTGTTGTGCCCCGGTAGTATGTACACCGGTACGTTTCTCGCTGGTATACCGCTAGCATCCGGTTTCTGGGGGGATAATGCCGAGTCCGTTGGGTCGATTTCCTGGCTCTCTGTTTCAACAATCTTCAACTTCGCCAACGATGCCAATGATGACTGGGCCAATTTCGGCTCATTATTCTTCTCTTCTTGCGGCAAGGTCTCGTGACCTTTCGGTTTCTCCGTTCCCGTAGCCTCTTTCAAGGATTTCTGAAACACTTGACGCGCCGAATCGCTTTCCGCATCTGCTGCCGCTTTTTCCATGGGGAGCATGACCTTTTCTTTCTCCCCTTCTTCCGAAGTTTCATGGTCTTTCAGTTGTTCCGTAGACGCGGAAATCTCTTGACCTTTAGGTTGCGCTTCCTCTTCCACGGTTCCATACGTCTCTTGACCTTTAGGTTATTCGTCTTTTTCTGACCAATTCCCGTGACCTTTCAGTTGGTCTGTCACTTGACGTTTCACTTGACACTTGGTTCATTTGACAATTGACCTTTAGGTTTATTTGCGCTTGACCTTTGGTTCGTTAGTCACTTGACCTTATGGACTTCGGTGATCCGGCTTCACAATCTCGTCTGGTGACCTTTCATTTTTGCTGATCCAGATCTTTCGTGACCTTTTGGCTGTTCCATTTGGATTTCTGCCCGAGTCTCTTAACCTTTCGATTGACCTTCTTCCGCTTTTGCTTCAATCGACGTTTGCACTTCATTTTGTACTTCAGTCAGAGTCCGATGACCTTTCGACTGGACGATAATTTCTGAAGATTCCGGACTTTCGTGACCTTTTCATTTGAATTTCGGTCGGAGTATCTCGACTTTTCGATAACCTTTCGCTTCTCTCGTATGATTCAGTCAGAGTCTGATGACCTTTTGACTGGGAGACCTTTCTGTTGACGTTTCATCCATGATGACCTTTCTGACGTCTGTTTCGATGACCTTTTAACGTTTTTGATGACTTTTCGTCCGAGTTTGGTGACCTTCCACTATACTTCGTATGACCTTTACACCTTCCAAACTTCCATTCCTAGTATCGTAAACTCCCGTTAATCTAATTTTTCGGATTAATATCTCTGCGTCCTTTAGTTATCCGATCAAGGAGTTCTTTGTCGGCCGCATCTTCCACTTCACCTTTCTGGGTGAGCAATTCTGTGGGAGTTAGTTTCTTCTTCTTCTGTTTTACCTTTCGCTCATCGATTGCTTTCGCTATATCACGGCCCAATTGTTCAGCTTTCGATTTGACCGCTTCTATCTCTTCTTTTCTCTTTTTTATGAGGTCTTTCTCATTGTCGGTAGCAGTGCGTGGTTCGAAAAAAGGATCTTGGTTCGGTTCAAGTTCTTTTTGCGAAGCGCGTTCGGCTACTTCATCTTCAGTTCTGGTGACCTTTCTGCCAAATTTCCAGCTTCCGTGTTTAACTTAATTGTAACTGCTGTTTCGAAATCTTTATCTTCTTTCCTTTTTCTTCCTCTCTTCTTTTTCGGTTTGTCTCCGCTCGTATCCGGTAGCAGAGAGCGTGCTTCGAAAAGTTGGCTCGTGTCGTTTTTCGGAGCGTGCTCGCATTCAGCTTTTTCCATTTCGGGTAGCAGAGGTGGTTTGAAAAAAGATTTCTCCGAGTCTTTTTGAGTACGCTCTGTTACTCGTTCTATCGTTCCTTTTTCTTCATCCGGTAATGGGGGATGCCATGGTTTTAATCGGTCGATCGAAACCGCCTTTAAGTCTGCTTCTTTCTTCGGGTTCTGTTCAATGACCTCCGCTTCGTTTGCTCGCGGGAAACTGAGAATCTTCCATACTTTGTCATATTTCGATTTAAAGTCCGATTGGTTCTCTTTCTTTCCTTGTTTCGTATCCTTTG